TTTATAATGAAAATCAACTTGTACTGTTATATGGAACACAAATTTCTTTTGCTTTTAATTACAAGTAGATACTCATTTATCGGTTTATGGCAATTTTCTTTTGGGTATAACACAATCATTTAAATTATTAACAACGAAGAAGCGTTTTAGAACAAATTTAAATTTTCAGTTTTTTTTTTTAAATTAAAGGCATTAAAAATTTAAAACATTTTTCATTTGATGTTAAAAGATAAATATATTTTTTGTATATGTTATACAAATAGTTCAATAATATTTTTTTATAACAAAACTCTTATTAATTATACATGAAAGCAATACACAATAAAATACAAATTTATTACATAATGTTAAAAAATTTTACTTTTATATTACTATAGCATTGCAATATGGTGGCCGGTGGGTGCTATACTACTAAATATGAAACAAAGACAAAAAATAAAAGAATAACAAAACATTTGTTTCTTGAAATGTTCTTGACGAGCCCATATTTTTATTCTAACTTCTAATTTTGTTTTGCTTGCATGCTTAAACTTTTATAAAAATATTGTCCGAACAAAATATTGAAATTTATTTTTATTTCATCATCGTAATAATTTCATTAACCGATAGATAAATCATAAAAGAAGCTTTACCGTCTAGAATAGACTATGAGTGTATAAGAAAACCATATAACAAATTTATATGTATGCATACAACTTCCAACATAATTATACAAAGTATTTTATGCTTAATCACATAAAAAGTCTAATCTATTTTATATTAGTTTATATGTTTATACTGGAGTGAGTTACAAGTTTACATAACAAAAATATTAAAATCAAAAAAGAGAAAAATAGAAAAAATGAAAAAAACAAAATATTTTTTATACGGTACAATGTTATATAAATTTTATGAGAGAATAACGTAATCGCTATAACATTGAAAAGAGTGAGATCATTCAGCATTTTAGAGATTGCAATAAGTCTCTGTAGTTATACTCATGCATGTACATTTGACACCAGAATTCGTAAATATATTATATTTATATGTAAAAGTAATGATTTAAATTATTCTTTAATTTCTTTCATTTCTTTAGTTTTGAAAAAAGAAAATATTTAAATAATTAAGTTGGCGTGAAAGAATTTTAGGTGTTCAATTTTAGAAATGTGAAGAGAAAAAATTCCATGCATTCAAAATTGCACACTAAAACTAGAATTTTCATTATTTGTAATATTTTGTTGCATTTTTATTTTTTCCTTAACCTTACCATTTTATTGTTTTCATTGAGAATATTATGACAAATAAAAATTATTATAGAGATTATAAAATTATTCATTCTTAATCATTTTAAAATTTATTTATTAAAGAAATATATGACGAATAATTGAAAAACTTGAAGAATAAGACGTAAAACCTAGTAGAATTTTTATTTATATATGTTACAAGCGAACGATCATAGATAACATGAATTTATAAGATTTCCGTTAACTCTTTACACAATAATTTCTCGATATGCTAGTTATTATCAAAATTGTGTCACAAAAACATATTTTATGATACATTTACAAATTGCATATTTAAAATTGATTGTATTTTATAAAAATTTGAAAAATTTTCTTTTATAGACTCTTGATTTATCAAAACTGCAATGGTGTTAAATGAAAATTGCTATCACTTTGCAACAAATTATGCAATTAAGCAATCAAACAGTTGCAAAATTAAAAATTTTATCTCTGCTTGTAAAATCAAATATAAATTTTATGAATAATTTACCAGCGACACTTATTTCAGAATTATTAAAATATTTATTTAAAATTGCATATTTTGCGGTTCACTTTAAAATTATTTCAAAATATGAAAATTTTATGAATAACCTAACTATATTAATAATTATAAATAAACGATTAATTTTTAATGAACAATCAATTTAAACGATTATTGATTTATGCGAAATGAAAACAATTGCAATGCAAGCGATCAGTTACTATACGTACAATAAAAAAGAAGAACTATTCATTTATAAATATAATGTTGTCTTTTTGTACACTTTATTTCATTTTTAAAATTTAAATTCTCCAATTATAATAAAAGTTTATTAATTATGGTAAAAATGAATGTTATTGAATAATTTTTATAATTCAACATCTAAAAGTATATCAAAATTTTTAATCAAAATAATTCACGAAAAACACACTAAATTTGGAAAGAGTAATTGGATAAAAAAATATTTTTCTTAAAATTTTTTCTTTATAGCTATTTACACAATTATTTTAATTGTGTGTACACAATATTCATAAATTTTTCCATGTCATCACCTACTAAAAATATTTTCAAATAATTGCTATATACATTCATACATATGTATAAATAAATAAATAAATCCTGTTGCAAAACTTTAAATAAACAAACATAATTTTTATATCTATATGTTTACATATTAACAGGGTTATGAGTGTAAACATGTAAATTGAAAAAGTTGTGGATTCAAATATGCAATTTTTGATATACGAAAGCATAAATAGTGTGTAAATAAAAATTTTATGTATATTAAGTTGTGTATACGTGAATTAAAAAATTAGGTCATGGAATTCTATACAGTTCCCATATCGCCACACAGTTAAAAAGTGAAAATGTGTAAATTTGTTGCATGTTAAATTGAGAAAATTGAAAAAAAAAATTTATAAGAAAAAATTATTGAAAAATTTTTCCTTATAAAATTTTGTTTTTTGTTTTTTTTTTTTTCTAAATTTTATTTGTGGTCTAAAATTAAATCATGCTTTGTAAAGTTTTCATATTTTAAAAAAAATTAAACAAAAAAAAATTTATTTTTGTTTTTTTTTTTTTAATTTATTGTTAAAACATTAATGATGATGTCATCAAATTACTACATCAATAATACATACATACATACATATGAATCCATTCATTACTAGATTTTCTATGAATGTATATACGAATGTATGCTAAATTGTATGTTATTCAAACTAAATATAAGAAATTGAAATGATCGTATATAAAATATCATACTTTATTTTTAAATATTGATGTAATTTTGAATTGATTTTAATGATTTTCAAAAACAAAATGAACTTTTAATATGATGTGTTTGTTTGTATATGTATATGACCAGTTTTTTTTTTGGTTAATAGATTTTGTAAATTTAAATGTTATTTTTGTTTATACAAGCCAACTTTCAATAGCATTTCAATATATCGTATGTTGTTTTTTTTTTGCTTTTTGGGTGTAAAACAAGAATTTTTATATTTTGATTTTTAATATTCTATAATTGAAGAACAAATTTTAGATTATCGTGATGTGAAATAGAAATGGCATACTAAAATGCTTTTTTTATTATTTTATATTGATTTATTTTAAAAAATTGCTAAAATAATTTAAATAAATCAGTTAAATTATGAGCTGAAATTAGAAAATCCTCCCTTAAAGTCCTTGAATTGAATATCTCAATATTAATTTGTCGACATACACATTTTACACATCAAATTCAACTTCTACATAATAAAATATTAAATCAATAATGTTTAATCATACAAATAAATTATAAGAATAAATTTTAATTTTAAACAAATTAAAATATGTTATCAAAAATTTTCAAATTTCTGTAATAAATTTTCAATATCATATTGTAAATTTCAATAAATTTTCGAGATCACATTGTGTATTTAACAATAACAACAAAATTAAAACTACATATATATATAATAAAAAAGGAAATAATATATTTTTCCTCAAATGTTATATATAGGTATGTAGGATAATATTTTTGAAATATGTAATTTCCTATAGCCAAAGATCCTATTGCATTATCTTTCTAATTTTGTAAAACATTTTTTTAGTCTGTAAGTACACCCTGTACATATTTTTTTTAATAATTTTATAGAATGTATTTGGCACTATTGCAAACCAATATTTAAAATATAATACATTACGTTTAAATATTTAAGTATATTAAAATTATAACGTATTTAATAAATATTATCTTTCCAAAAAATATGAGGTTTAATTTCTTTAAAAAAAAATTGCATAGTTATGGGCATATGAATAAAATCATAATTTGAAAAGTATCTAAAACTCTAAACTGTCGATCCGTTTTCTTTTTATTTCTAAATTACATATACTAACTTTAATAAGAAGCACACTTGAGTATTTCAATTAATATTTATTTAAAAAATTTTTCTGCTAGTTTGTAATTTAATCCTTAAGAAATTAAATTTAATTTTAAAAAAGAAAATTTTTTTTGTCATCGAAATCCGTCAGAGAAATAAAACATAAAAACACTGAAAAATATTTGGTAACTAAAGCAAAAATTCAAATTTTCTAATATTTTTTTCTTTTATACAATTCTGATCTCTATTCGAAAATTCTATCAAAACCAAATTCTGGATTCCAGAGTAATAAATATTTTATTTTTAACTAAAATTTTTAACTAGCATTAATTATTCGGTATTTTGTTTAATACGATATTAAATTAATATTACCGTTACAATGTAACGATGAATATTATTCAATAAAATAAAAAATAAAAAATAAATAAATAAAATCAGTTGTAAATCATGGTTGTTTAAATTCGGAAAATTTTCATTCAATTCTAAAAAAATTTTTAAATTTTTTGAAAACGATTTTTTTGAAATAAATTTGCACGGACTTTTTCGAAAAAAAATATTTGAAAATAGTTTAAAAATTTCTTCAGCTCTTCTTTTTGTTTAAAAAAAACGAACAGATTTTAATTTTAATATTAAAATAATATTTTTAAAGATATAAAATCTAATTCACTAATTTTTTTATATTGGTTTAAGGATTCAATCGTCTTTGAATGTTTTATTCCATTTTCTAATTCAGTGTATGTATACTGGAAATATTTGGTACACATAATCTCAATTCAAAATTCGCCATTAAACCCAAATTCATAAACATCATTATTTCAATATTTTTAAAATTTATATATTAATTAAATATTAAAAGAATTTATTTAGAACAAAAAACTTAAATTAAAAATCACCCACCTTGTTATTTAACAAAAATTACAAAGTAATATTCGATGGGATGTAAGAAATTTGAACGAAAAAATAAATTTAAATTCAAATTTATTTTTTTTTTTATTTTGTTTTAAAAATTAGAATATGTAAATTTTCTGTGCAATTTTAATAACCGTATATTTTTAATTTTTTTACTTCAAATGTTCTTTATATTTTTTTTATTTTTTTTTTTATTTTCCTTTTAATCCGTATAGTAAAATAATTGCGTTAACACAGTCTGGTGGTTGAAACGATACTAAAAGAAGTTTTTATTTTTCCAATAGTAAATTTCTTCTACACATTCTATTAAAAAAAAAATAACAAGAAATTAAAAGAAAAATTAAAAACAATAATATATTTTATATTTGTACGTATGTCGTGCACATTTTATTTACCATCATAGTAGATTATCGTCGGCGGCGTCATCCGTCGCGCTTTACTCGTTTGCCTGCTGTTTTTGTTTTTCTTATTCTGTTTTTACAAATTATGAATAAAAAATAATAAGTGTACCTTTAAAATATATTATTTAATGATTGTATGTATGTATGAATGTATATGAAAATTCAATAGTATACCCACAACATAACTGGAGTAATGAATTAAAAATTAAAAAATAAAATTGAAATTTATTATAAGTTTGAAACAATATTAAAAATAAAAAATAAAAATTACGTAAAAAAAAATCTTAAATTTAAAAAAGCTTTTTTATATTTATTAACTGACTGTATAGTGTATATGTATATATACATACAACAGGCTTAAGTTGATGTGATGATGATGATTTTGTCACTGAAAAAAATAAAATCAAAAACATTAAACCATCATTCATAAATAACAATAACGTGATTTCATAAAAAATTCTATAATTTTTAATAAAGGTACACGCTAAATGAATAGCTTACGTCGTTGATTAAAGAAAAGAAATGATTGATTAAAACTTTAGTCACCCCATATATGCAGTAGAATCTCTATTTAATGAACTTTCAATATAACAAAAAATTAGCTTGACAACAACAGCTTTCTTTTACATATTTCCTTTCTATTATACGAAGTTATGTATATAAAAGTGATATTTTCATCACTTTAATATAGTATCAAAGTGATGAAAATGTGCATATGATCAAATGATTTGAAAAAAATTAATTTTGTATGGTACCGCGTTTATTAAAAATTTCAGTAGACACTATTAATTTTTTAATAATTTAAATATATGCATTATACAAATATAATGTACCCTTTAAAAATTTTAATTTGAATTTATTTACTGTTTAATGTTTTTATGTTTAACCTTTAAAACTTATTCTAAAACTATGCGTTAGTTGATATTTCTAATTTCTGTTACATGTTATACATCTATTTTAAGTTCGTTCTTCTATTACATAGTACATGCAAAAAAACTTCATTTTATTTTAATCTTTTAAGAAGGCTAACAGAAGCAATATCAGTTAAGTGCATGAATTGTGTAGCATCGTCTTTGGCAGCTGCAACATCGTCATTGTTTAGTACAGTAGAAACCAATATTCTCTATATAATAAGATCAGTGAGTTAAGAGGCCGGTGAAACAATTTTATTTTTCTCTCAGAGTTTTTGTTAAAAATAACATTGCAATAAATTGATTTTAATTTAAAAAATTAACAAAATTAATATTACTAATATTACAAGATGAAAAACGTTTTTTTTTTTCAATTTTCATTATTTACTTAAATTATTTAAAAATCATTTTTCCAATATATCAGTATTTTTATATTAAATTCTATAACAAACCCATAATAATTACTCCACACTTATAATGTAGAATTTATATTTAAAAAATATTTAAGTCGGAAAATTGTGTGGAGATCATTTATTAATGCACCGATATACACCTACGCTATTCGAATAACATATTGAATTTTAAATAATAGTATATGATTTTTTATAAAAATTTTATTTTAAATAATAAGCACTACGCATATACCGAGAGGTTAATGCTACAACTAGATAACTCGAAAATTTTACATTTTTTGATAATTAAGCTAGGCGTCATAAAATTGAATGCTCTTCCATATCTGCGACCAATATCTAAGCTTAAAAGTGTTTTTAAATATCTGAAAATGATAGTACCCAAACTAGATACCTTCATAATGAATTATTTGTAGTTGCTAAATCTCTAAACTAATAATTGCGAGTTATTATAGTTGCAGCTTTAACCTCACGATACATTGTATTCAAATTAATATATATGTATATAGGAAAATAATTATAACAAGGTGCTAATATTTTTGTTCTTGCATACATTTTATTATTATACGTACATACATATTATGTTTATGTATATAATAATTCTTCTGAAAGGAGATTCGCATCAATGAATTTTAATATTTAATTTTACACATTTTAACAAAACAATTTCATTTGTATTGATATATTTTTCAGAATTACCAATTGATTGCGTTTCCTAAATTTTATGTGTAAATTTTATATGTACTCGTATTTGCAAAAAATTATTTTTTGCAATTTCAATTAAGAAAACCCCAATTTATAAAATAAAACTTTGTTAGTTTCTCAAATAAATAATAATAATCTTCATAAAACTGAACTTAAGTATATCGCATAGGTATTAATTTTTGTTATACATAGAAGTTGTAGAACATCGTAAATAAATGTTCATGACGTTTTCAATCGAGATATTAGAGTACTATGTAAATAGAGGAAATAGCCACAGATTTCAATTGTAGGTGCAAACTATACATGTGTTAATACTTCTATACTGTGGTTTGAAGTCAAAGTACTTAATCTACAATACATCATTGATATCAAAACTGCATTCAAATACTGTACTACTATGCAAATCATCTCATATATACATGTAGATTTATGCTACATTAATAAGGAACTAAATCTAAACTAATTCTTTTCGCAGATTACAATCAATGATTTAGATATATACACATAAATGGCCTATAAATATTAATTAGATCGTTTTTACTTAATCGACCCTAAATAAATCTTATCGTTATTACATTATTTGATTTTTATTAGTATAATATTTTATAATAATAATTCTGCTATAATATTATATGTAAGTTCTTACAAATAAATAAACTCATTCTCATTCATTTACTTAAAAAAACGTAAATACCTTGTTTAAAAAAAAAATATGAAGATAATTTTTTCTAAAAATAACTTATTGTGAAAGCGCGAAATAATTTTAAAATAAGTTTACAAATAAATAATAAATATTTTATTAATAATTATGACAAAGTACGTGAGTTTTTAAAGCTCAAAGTTGAATGTCGAAAGGATCAATTACGAAAAAAAAAATTTTTTTATCGAGATAAAAGATTTTGTAATCTTATCTTAAAATTTTGTGTTACAAAAAAACATATAAATAATATACATGTGTATAATATATGGATAAGAATATGTACACGGGGCAATTGTTTACTTCCTTACTCACTTTCCCTATAAAAAAATTTATTTGTTCACGCTGTTAATTGATTCATTTTGATAAAATCGTTAAATTATTTCGGATATTATTCATCAAAGCTCTCTTACCTTTAAAATTATTAAGAAATAATATTATTTTTGTTATTTAGTCATTATTATACGTTTGTATGTATATATCAATTAAATATACATATCTAATTTTTTTTAAAATTAAGATGTATAAGACTGACGGTGTAATTTCACATGTCCATGAATTATTGGTGACGTATTATTAACGAGTATTTGTATGGCTTTTGCATTATCTATTAAGTGTTATTGTATCATAAGAATAATATATTGCAGCAAAAGCATTGATGTGTTGTAGCTACTCAATGCAATTTCTAGGTCGTGTATATTGGGAGTTTAGATTCAACATTTTTGTTTTGTGTTTAAGGCTCGAATTATTGTCCTATTAAGCATGCTCTTAAAATTGTGTCTTTATAATATAAGGTAGAAAAATATCAAATTTAAAAGGTATTGAAAAACTTTGGAATTTTTAAACTCAAACTATACAATAATGATCAGTAACAATTTACTCTTATTTGAATAGCAAAGCATGTGAAATTGCATTATGTTATCATACAAGGTATCTAGTAGCAAAGTACACTGCTATGTACGTTGTATAGGCCCTCATGAGTAGGCAAAACTTTTATATGGAGACTATATGGAGATTATATTAAATATGATTTGAAAACCTCAAAATAAGGGCTTTCCTATGAATATCTACACCATTTATAATTTATTCAAAAGCTGTGCTAAAATTGGAGAAAGCTCCACTCAATGTTACGTCAGCCAAAAAATTAACGATTAAAGATTATAACTAATGTAGATATTCACGAGAAAGCCCTTACAAAAGTACGTAGTTATACTTAAAAATTTTTAAAAACTAAAAAAATCAGTCGAGATTGACTTTAAGGCCCGTTAGCTCCGAACCTCTTAAGCTGTGAACATCGTTTTCATACAAAAGTTTTGTCTACTCATAAGGATCTATACAATGGTGCATATAGTAGAGCACTGCGAGTCGAGACATTCTGTATAAGAACAAATTTTGATTACCGAAATTTAAAGTTAGTAATTTTGTCTGCAAAAAACAAATACATTTTTTAATTACATATTGGAAAAGTTTTATAACTGAAATTTACTAAAGTGAAAAAATATTGGTTAGATCAACAACCTCATAAAGATATTAGCTTTTAATAGCAAAGATAAAATAAAAAGAAATTCAATTTGAAATATCCTTACGTGTATCCTTATAAAAATGAAAACAATGTATATATATATGTGTGTGTGTAATTATATGTATATAGCAGTGAAAATCTTAAATTTTGTCGCGACATCAAGTCTAGCCATTTTGATATGTGTGTAAAACTATAGAAATTTATTTTCTATTTACAAATAATATTACTTTCGTTAACCATATGAACTACTTGAAGCTTGTTAACAATTTTGTTTGTAATCCAATTGCCACTATGTGTAAGATTGTACGAACATTTATATTTGTAAAATGTAAATGCAAATTGTTGATTGTAATATACAGACAAATAATAAAATTTATAGTAATATTTTTGACTTTCCTTTTCTTTTAACATTTCTGTTGCATGTTTTCAATTTATATTTAAGGATATTTATTTAGGAATCGTTAAAATATTCGTATGAGTTCAAGTTATAGCGGTCAACTTAAAGCTTTTATGAATCTTTTAATGCTAGCATTAAAATTGATTATTGAAATTTTAAATTGCATGCACATTATATAAAATATAAACAAAACAGCAGTTCCTTTATTAAATAATGTGAATACTAAATATACAATGCCAAACATTAGATTTTTGGAAACAATAAGATTTTTTTTTAAATATGTTTTTAAACTTTTTATAACGCAGATCACGAAATTGTTCACTCTTCTGTACAGCAAACTATGAACAAATTTATAACAGAAATTTATAGAAATATGGACTAGGATTCGTATAGAAAACAATAAAATGATTATTGTCAAAAAAGTTATCTTAACTGAAGTTAGTAACTGAAATAATAAAGCCTGTTGAAAAGTAAGCGGGAAAATTCCTTGATTAAATCTAAATTTTTCAAAAATTATTGAAATTAAAAACACGTGAATTATAAAACTTGGAATTTAAATAATAAAACTTGGATCTTAGTATAACATTTACCATTATAACGATATTACCGAATTAAACGACAGTTTTTATTTTTAAATAAATAAAATAATGTTGGGTTCTTGATAGCCTCAAATTAACACTTAAATAAACTTAAACAATTTTTTTATAATCTTTTGTATTTCTTCTTTTTTTGATAATTGAAATTATAATATTATGATTCATTAAAATTCTAATTATATAATAAAACTTAAAAAAAACTTTATTCTAAATATTCATAAAGATTTCTTTCGAATAATGAATATTAATAAAAATTATGACTAAATATTAAAAATATTTTTAAAATACTTGACTATATTTATAAACAAAACAATATGTAAAGTTTCGTTCGAAATTAGTACGAGTTAAACGAGGAAATTATAATAATGTATGGATATAAAAGTATCGTATTTGTATGGATGGGTGTGTGTAGCTGGAAAACATATTTTATAAAAAAATGATGTCAGTGATTACACGATTAATATTTAAATTTCTTCAAAATTAAATGAACAAGTGATGTTTGAGGGCTGTAAAAAGCTAATGTAAAAATTTATTTGAAATAAATAATGTTTTTTTAAAAGAAAAATGTATATTATTATACAAAAATTAACTAATGAAAGTTTTTTAAAAAAATCTTGTAGGAAAACGTGTCTTGTAGAAAATGGGGAAAATAGAAAAATATGCAACGCGATAATTTTCCAATACCTTTAATCCTTCCCATGTTTTGCAAAATTAAAAGTATAACAATTAAATAAATTCAGTTAAGTAAATTTAAAATGGAATTTTAATTTTTTTAAGCTTTGCAATACCTAATTAAAATTTTAAGATTTACATTAAGCTTCACTAGAACAATAAAGAATTTATAGTAGATTTTCTTCTTAAATCTTCTGGTATCTTTTGTCTCTTAATGTAATGTCTTTTGTAAATGAAAATCTCTTAAAAAATAAAACTTTGGTAAATTTGAAATTTTTTATAATTTGCTAATATTGAGTTGCTTTAAGCGTAGCCCTCAAAAAAATTTTACAACTTATGAAATTTTAATTATGGATTAATGTTATTCATTGGTGAAATGAAATAATATAATTGTATTATGTATGTATATATGTGTTTTTTTAAAGTATGACCAAACTATTGCAATTGCATATTAATTAATAAAATTAACAAAAATTAATCATGCATACCTAACCATTGTTCAAGTAAAGTATGTCACTGACATCAAATTAACCTTTAAATGTAAATAACTTCACGTTTTTCGGTAAATCAAAATTCCTTACAAGAATAAATACATTACAATATATTACTAATACATTGGTATATGTATAGTATTATACCAATAATTATCATATTAATAAGTGAAAGCGATTACATATCAAAATATTTATTATCATTTACACTAGATATTTGCAAAAATTTCAACAATTAACCGCACGAAAACAAAAATTAAATATTATCAGACTTTATTTTATTTGAGGATGTTTTTAAGTTAATTGAGGATGATTATGCCATTATTGTTTTACATTTGCTAAATAAAAGTTAAGAAATTTTTTTGTAAAAAAATTTTGTTTTTCTACTTAGCAAGATTCTGCATTTTTTTTTCTAGCTTTAAAATTTTTGTAATGCTGAAGAAATACATTTTTTGGAAGGTACTTTTAATAAATTCTGTTAAATAGCCACATTGCAATAACACTTTGATAAATTAATAGTAAAAACAAATTACATAGTGCTTTTCTGTATAGCATAAGAAAAAATAAAATTCTGTTTGCACACAATTGTGCACATACTCAAAAGTTTTGTAGTTTTCAAAACAAAATTTTGTTTCATTCAGAATTCTCATTGCTTAAATTAAATGGATTTTCTCAGTTCTCCTAAAACATAATTACAAAATTTTGTTATACTTTTTGGATAAAGCGAAATGCATATTAGATAATATGTAATACGAAAAATATTTTTTCTTGCTTTGAAATTACACCGCATGAATATTACAGTAGTTACTAGCTTTCATCTCAACTCATTAAATAGAAAGATGAGACAAACCATTAGATCCTAAAATATGATATTCATAATCAAAACCGCAATATATCTAAGATAAAATCTAATTATTTATTGATGATTTCACAAAAGTTCAATTTTTTTAAGGCCCTCATTCTGTACGTATTAATTCAAAGTTCTAATAGAATTTCCTTCAATTTGATAATTACTTTACTTCTGTTAATATATGTATGTTTTATGCACAATTTACCATTTTTTTCCAATTTTTTCAAAGCTGGAAAGGAAATCATCTTTGCTAAAGTTTAGTTTTTGCATAAGAAATATGTATGAGTTAGTTCTTTATTGAAATTATTAAGACCATAATTAGACAAGATATGTTCTTAATTTCAATATGTATTAAAACCCATTTTAAAATTTTCTAATTCTAAAAAATAAAATTTTACTTTTTTAGATATTTACGTACTAGATTTTTCTAGATACATATAATTGTTGAATAAAAACAATAATTCTGAATTATCTCATATTTAATTGAACAAGCATTATATTATTGTTATAATTAATATATATTTTATTATCATTTTCCAGGTCTAAACGCAGCCTGTTTTTAATAAACAAAAAATTTCGCCCGCAGTCAACTTTTTAGTGAACATACTTCTACATTAGATTATATATATATATATAAAATTAATCCAGTCCATCATCGGAAAAATCTGGTTTATAAGGCTTTGACTGTGGGGGTGGTGGATTATTAGGTGGATTTTCTGCACCTGGAAAAGCACCACCGGGAAAACCTGGAAAACCCCCAGTTTCACTACTACCACCACCACCCATTTTTGATTTAAGATCACCACCTAGTAAACACGCAAGATTTAAAAATTTGGGATTAGATAAATACTTTGATAAATTTGCTGGATTTTTTCCAATATCATTTAGGGCTTCTTTTACTTCTGGATCGGACAATAATTTCTTTACATGCTCTTCATCCGTATTAAACATATTTGAAAAATCCATGCCTGCTGGCATATCTTCTGGTCTAAAACCTGACGGCATTCCTCCACCTTGTCTGCGACTTTCTTCTTCCTCCTGAGCTTTTTTATTTGCTTCTTGGGCGGTGCGCACCCTTTCCTGACGTTTCTTTATTTCTTTTTCAGTTTTTATACGATCCCACTTTATTCTGTGTTGCTCAATTTTTTTAGCATTTGGAGTTACCTCTTTTAACCACTCGTCCGCCTCTTCATCATAATCTAATTTGCAAGCTTGCCTTAAATCTTTTGCTGCTGCTTCCCAATTTCCTAGAAGGCGGTTGGCTCTACCTCTATATTTATATGCAGCTGCAGAATCACAATTAAGCTCTAATGCTCTGTCACAATCACGTATGCAAGCGTTTGGTTTTTTTAATTTAAGATAAGCTTGCCCACGTTTGGCATGGAATAAGGCATTTCCTGGATTAATATTTATGGCTTTCGTATATAAATCAATTGCTTCTTCGAATTTCTGCTCAGAATAAGCTGAAGCTGCTTGGGAACGTAAATCGCTTGCTTGATCTATCTCTTCTTCTGTTACCTCTTTATTTTTATCGCCCATTTCCTGTGGGTCATCTGTATCAGGCTCAATTACACCTAAAATCATTTTAATTTTATAAAATTTTATTTGGATCTAATTTATGTGTGCATTTACTTACCATCCATATCTAATTCTACATCAGATTCTTTCTCTGAATCTTCTTCTTCTACTTTAGGTTCTGAATCGGGTGCTTTAGATGTTGGCGACGGCTTCTCAGAACTATACATAAAGCTTAGAATCAAAAATATTTTACTTTTAGTAAATTTCTACCGACCTTTCAAAAGTGGGCATTTTGGATTCCCCTGCCGGGATTTTTCCACCCAAACTTTCAACGAATTGTTTGAAAAAACTTAATTTTGGTGTATTTAATATTTGTGGATTGGTTGAGCATACTGCTATAAAAGTTTTCAAGGCCTCTAAATTCTAAAATGGTACACATTTTGGTTTACATGAAACGGTAAATTATTTTTTAATTTAAACTCAAATAACCTTTTCGCCAAAATCCATGTTTTTTTTTTCTGATGAATATTGAGACGGAAGTTTATATTTTTAGTTTTAAATTTATTTAACAAATCGTATTTTAAATCTTTCTAATTTATACTTATAAATTTTACCAATTTCGCTAAATCACGCCGGGTTTCTTACTTCTTTCTTATTCTATTCTTATACCAGAATATTCTTCAATTTGGAGAAAATGGAAAAAAAGATGTCGCAGTATTTGGAGAAAAAATACACTGACATAACATAAATGTCAAGAATTAATTTGACAACATAACCTTGTTTTCCAATGCTGCCATAGTTTAATTTTAATATGGTCATATCTTGGAGATTAAGCTCTACATCCTGAATATTAAATGCGGGTACGTATTTATGTCTAGTTTATATACATAAAAGGAAAATTATATAAAATTTTGCAGAAATTTTAAAAGGATTTTTAAAATTTCACAAAAAAACGACATAAAAAAGTAGTTTTATGTATTTGATTACTAATTGTTGACATATAAATTTTGTACTTTTTCAAAAGTTTATTAGCAGTTCGATCGCCTGATTGTGATTCACGCACTAACGTTAAAGAAAAGAAAATAAACAAAAACAATAAAACGTCAGTTCGTACAAAATAGTCAAAGAGGAATTGATAAAAAATTTTACCTGTTTATAAAAAAATTAAAAAGGTAGAATTTGTTTACATTGAGTTTTTAATAAACTTAATACAAAGAATTTGATGTAAATTTTTCGAGTTAATGTTGCTTACATGCAATTCTTTGAGTATAAACGTAATGTTACAAGGACTATCAGACGTGCTAAAAACCGCTGCAGACATAGTAGCACCTCCACCAACATTAAGGCAAGATTTAGAGTATCATTGGAAGCAAGTCAAAACTTTTTATAACAATAGAAACAATTTTCCGCGTCACATTAGGTAAACAAAAGTGTTGTCCATTAACATGTTTGTACTAAATATTATTTTAGTAATACAACTGTTCCTCATCATTTGGAATCAATATTGCAAACCATATTGAGGGAAGATGAGCTTGAAAATAACGATTCAAAAAAGGAGTGTATGGAATTCATCTTAAATAATAGACCATTGGACTTACTTTTAGAACTGTCAATAGCTGATAGTCCACCTGGCGTAAAAGTGTGTGTACTTAATTGGGTCAGGAGATTTTTATCGTGCACAAAATCTGCACCATTAGAACATACGAGTATTTTTGAACCTATTCGAAATCTTATACAAATATGTAATGGAAAAGTGCCATCACCATATGAAGAGGAAGAAATATTATTTTTAGAAACTATAGCTGGTCTAATAAGAAAAAACCCAAATTTGCTGCATATATTTCTACCGTCACATCAATATTCTGCATCCGCCATGTCACAAGTAAGATTACATAATCTTATAAACAAGCTATTAAAAACTTGAACTAATTTCAGATTAAGCATAATAAATTCAGAAAATTACCCGAAAGTAATTCATTATTTCAATCAATAAAATTGGAAACCAACATAAGAAGAGTGGAAATTATTCCAGATTTAAGAAACATTAATTCTAATGAATTAAAAGCTTTAAATAAAGCGAAAATTGCAAATGGATCTAATTTCGACTTTGATACCAAATGCAACGCTTCTATAAAACTGGTAGATCTCAATCGGACTGAATGTGATTGCGAGCAAAATGAAAAATTTGAATTGTTGGACACGATACTTTCTTATTTTGAAAGTCCTGATAGTAAAGTTGTTGTAAGAGCATGTGAAAGTGCTTTAATCTTATCTTCGCTGTCTGTATCTAATATAAAATGTACATCATTTGACAGAAGTTTGAAAGACTTCACTGATTATTTAATCAAGAAAATTTGTGTCCTTTACGAAAAAATTCCAGATGACATGGATTCCGATAACATAGAAGAAGGCAATATATCGTGGGGATTTATTCCTCGAGAACCGGATGTTCATAAATTTATAGGAAAGGCTGAATTTCACGAGTTTTTTTGTTGGTTGGACTACACAGATTGTGTAGCATTAGAGAATCTCAAAATCTCAACATTTATAACACAATTCCGCAACGAATTTTTATTAAAATACGTAGAACCAACCTTATTAGCAACAGACACTCCTTTTGTTCTTATCATATTAAGCAAAATAATTAGACAAATTCGATCCCCAAACTTTATGGATGAAATCGCAAATTGGTTAGTTGGGGAAACTAATTCTGAACCTTATTCCGCAACAGATTGCTTACTTACTATAATTATTGAAAATATGCAAGATAATTCAGAAATATTATTAGCTGGTTTGCAATTTATTGAAGCGTTGTTGGATAATCCAAATGAAAAAATATTGAATGAAATGCTCTTTAGATATTTAAATAAACGTGGTTACTATGATAATCAAGCTCAACAAAGTTGGTCAGATGAAGAAGAAGAACGTGAAAGGAAATGCGGCAGTATTGAAGATCAGTTCAGATCTCATACCTTGTCTCCACATAATATTTTAAAAGTTATTAATCATTTCTTACTTCTCTTACCAAGACAAGTTATGGCGGAAGCAAGTAAGTTGATTTATGTTATTGTAAAATTTGAAGGTATAACAATTTTTTTTAAAGGCGGCACTTGTTATGAGGAATATGTTCAAGACGCAAGTAAACATTATAAAATTTGGCTTAAGAAAACTGAAAAATTTGCATGGCCGCGTGAAGCAGTTTCTCCAGATAGAGAAATCATTTCTTCAAGTTCTTCAATTGGAAATCTTGATCTTCCTAAGTCTACTTTTCGTCGCAGTAACAGCTTAGAAACAGATTTGCATTGCAATGACAGTGGTATATCGGAAGGACGTTTTTATGAAGGTCCATTATTAAAATTTCTATTTTCACATGTGAAGGGAATGCCAAATCAAAGTTGCGAAATAAATTTAGCAGTTATTGCAATTGTTTCAAAGTTAGCATTTTTGCCACAACCTTATTTACATGAAATTCTTCTAAATCCAATCATTCCTGTGGCACACGGTGCTACGAATTTGTGGAATAATATGCAAGTAGCTGCTCGATACTTACTGCTTGAAATTCCGAAACATGAACATTTTCAAAAAAGAATTGGTGAAACTGGAAAACGTTTATTATCCAATCCACCAATTATTTGTGATGAAGGAAATGATGATATTGAGCAACTTTATGAGGCAATTGTTATATTAGAAGAATTTTGCAAAGAGCTTGCAGCAATTGCTTTCGTTAAATATCATCATGCAACAAAAGAATAAATTTACATACTTATAAACTTCACTTTTCTAATATTACACACATCACATTTTTATTGTGATTTTTTTGAAAAGAAATAGTCATAGGGTTCTGTTTGATTTGCTATTTTAATATTTAAGAAAGGAATATTATTTTAGAAATTTATTTATAGGAGCCTCAGTGTTGAATAGCCTGCATATAAGTGTGATTATAATATATAAAATTTAAAAACGATTGCAAAAATATGATTATATATATAATTAGTTCTATATACTATCAAAAGACGTGTTACATACCCTGTAATAAAAGTAGTCCTTTTATTTTTATGTTTATTTTAAATAAATTATGTACAAACTAAGTGTATTACTTACTGTTATGTTATGTTTAAATTTTAAATATAAGTATTGAATATATTATATTTAAAATAATAAGCTTCTTGCTTACTATACAAAACTTTGTGATTCTTTCGATTTACATGCCAATAAAATATTAAATAATAACTTATACTCGTTTATTTTGTTAATATTTTAAGTTAATTAGAAATGGCTTTAAGAAGTAAAATGTAAGACATTTGAGGCCAAATATTTTTTTTAATATAAACCAATTTATTGAATTATAAAACATTTGTATCAAAAATTTATGAAAAAAAATTACATATATAGGGTCTTCATCTTATATATCTCTTTCCTAAAGATCAATGGTTATGAATTTCTGATTCATCGTTCCTTCCATTTAAGGAAAAATAGATTTTCGGTTTAGTAATTATACTCTGGAGTTTCTAAATTTTTTAGAAAGTTAGCTAGCTTCTTGCTCAAGGGTTATATGTACATAACACAAAAATAATCTTTAGTCGACCACTGAACGTAAAATAAATGTCTTTTGATCTTTGCAAACTTTTAACAATTAAGAAATATAAAGAAAATTTGAATATATGTACAAATAAAAATAAAAAACCATTAATTAAATGATGTTCTTAAAAGTCGATTTGCGGCTGTAATGTAAATGTTTGAAAAATAGTTTCTATACAGGCATTATTACAGATTTCAACAATACAATTTTAAAGTATTTGTCCAAAGAAAATAGGTCCCACATATTAAAATATAAATTTCTAAAACATAAGTACATCTAATTTTACTTTATTTATTCAATGACATCCGCAACTTTTTACAACCATATTTTTATACTTTTTTAAATTAACATTCGCTTCGTTTAAATGATACAAAACTGGTAAAGTACCTAATGTTGTCGGAGCACAGCAGGGTTTTGGCACCTGAAATAAGAAAAGTTAAAATTCAGTAATGTGTTTTTAACCAAATGTTTTGAATAAAATTCAATTTACTTTGGAAGGATACATCAGATGAACTAATGTTTGTACAATGGCATGATTGGTAGCATTCATATGAGCATTTAATGGAAAACTACATTCTCCGCTGCAATAAAAAGCACTATACCCTTCAGGTGCAATAATCCAATCCTATTAATCATAAAATATAAAATATTAATTTTAAAATGAAATTAATCTTATATTTGGAATTTTATTTTAGATTTTTTACATAAAATTTTTATGCACTCAAAAAAAAAAAAATGCACTATGGGTTTTTTAAGATTTTAATACAGTTCTAATAATCGTAGAATGCATCATGAATTTGTTAATAAAATACACATTTACTTAAAGATACAATTTTTGACTCACATGCCATCTTAAATCTTTAAAATTAATGTAAAGTGTCTGTATTTGACAACTTTTTGAAGTTCTACCAATAGCTGACGATTGATGATGGTCTAAAAATGGGTTTTGTTTTTCCGATTTATTTCTTCGCTTTGAAACATTCCGTTTTCTTCTAGCACTTTTTTTATTTAATTGCTTGATTACCTTCAATATATAAAAAAAAAATAAAAATTAATCAATGTAGCTGGTACTGATTATAATAAAATTTTTAAATATAAATCACATTCATTATCTTATATGTGCATTGTATTTAAAAAAAAATATTTTACTTACATCAGGACCTTTAAAAAATCCCACCATAAATGGCTGATATTCATCATCTCCCTTATTATTTATTATTCCAATATCTTCTAATTTTATCTCACGATCAGGTCTTTCTTTTGCATGTGCACCAATATATAATCCTTTATTTTCTTTTGGCCATATTAACCATTTTGATAGTCCTTCAGTTACATTTAATTCTAACCAACCATGGTAATCTGAGGTTGTATTAATTGATGATAATATTTCTAATTCTTTTTCAATATATTCATCATCATTATCATCAATATCATCATATTCCTTATCAGTATTAACTATTGTATATACGGTTATAATAAATTCTTTATTTTTTCCTAACCATTTTCCCAGCATGGGATTTTGATAAATTCTTAACTCAGCCATCATTAATAAGTTATCCTTGGTCACTTCCGATACATCAAACCATAAACGTCGTCCGTGTTCATGTCGAACTTCAGCCACATGGTGGTCTAAAATATATATGTATGTATGTAGATAAATATACAAATTATATAAGAATTTGTTTTATATATATATACAGGTGTATGCACGAAATAAAAAAAAATAAAATCACGATGAGGCCAAGAAGTATTTACAAAAAAATAAATACAAGAAACAGGGAAAAAAGTAAATATACATGATTATATGCATATTTACGAGAGCGTCATGAAAAAAGTTCACTTTAAATAATGTAAAAATTTTGTATGAATGAAAAAATTAAATGCAAAATTTAAATATTTTAAGTTTAATTTTTTATTTTGCGCAATTTTTCTAGTCAAATATACCGGGCGAATATAAAAATTTCAAGAGTTTTTATTAAAATTTTAAATTTTTTAAATTAAATGATTTTTTTGTGCTATTAATTCAGGGCACTTAATTTCCTTTTGCAAAAAAGATAAACTGTATATGTTTCTATAATTTCTATGTTAACTAAAACTCATCTTATCTTAAAACTCAATATAATTACGAAGTTTAGCTTATTGTTTGTATCCAAATAATTGTGTTAATAAAAATTATGAATAATATAAATGAAGCCCATCACACATTTCCATATAAAAAAAACTTAAAGAATAAGATTGGTACCTGGGATTTAACAATACCATATGAAATTTGATTTTACCAAACGTCACATATTTTAACCAAAAATATTAAATTTTTATTGATTTAGCTATTTCTTAATTTTTGAATTTCTTAAAAGTTCCTAAATATAAAATTGATTCCAGCCATATTTCATTCGAGGACATTTCTTAGCTCAAAAACCTTACAGAAATGAATTTTCTTTTGAACTGAGACGAAAAAATGAGATAAAAATAGAGTTGTTATACAGCGCATTCTGAGAAAAAAAAATTTAGAAATTACAGGTAGATAGAATTACAAAACAAAAAAAAACCAAAAAGTAAATAAAGTTAAGGTAACAAGGCATTTTTAATTTCTTCAGGTCATAAATTTTTTTTTATTCCTTGGTGGCTAAATACATTTTCGTTAATTTTTTGATGAGTCACTTAGCCGGAATAATATAATTGTCAGTTATTTCGATTAGTTTTATAAGGCACTTGCAACCTATATAAAATAATGGGCCAGATTAAAGAATTAAAATATTGTGCGCGATAAATTATTTTATAGCAGGATTTTTTGGACAAAAACATTTTTAAATCGACAAATCAATCAATATATTTACCACTTTTACTACAATCAAAGAATAGTTTCAAAAGAAATATTAACGTATGTCAATAAAAGAATTTTATTGACATGAAGAAATATGAAAGAACAATAAAGTGCATGTTTAAGCCATGAATTTCTTAATTATTGAATTAATTTTTACTAAATCCTTTAGAAATAATAATTATTAAAATGAACATGATTTATTTATCCTTAATGATGATTTGAAAAATTCTTGTGGGTCACCTAAATAAACAAAATTGAAAATGATATTAAATACTCACTTTTGTTAAGAAAAGTCATTATAATATCTGATTGATCAATTGCTCTCTTATCTAAATCAGTTATAAAATTATCACTATTATGTTCGATACTCCTTTTAGATCTAAATATAGGATTCTCTTCTTCACTAAGTCTGTGATATGCATCTAATAGAAATTGTGGTGCTGATTTTCTGAAAAAAAACGAGAAAAATTAATTAATTAGCATAAAATTAAATATTTAAGAATATTTTCGCTTAAAATATTTATTTTTATTGCATATTTCCTTAAGAAATTTGTGTTATCTTATTGTAGTGGACACTTTTCTATATAATTTATACTTTTGTGAAAATGTTTTGTTAATTATTTGTCTTTTTATTTGTTCAATTTAGTATTAAAGAAATAATTCAAAATTTTTTTGACAATTATTTAAATGGCGATTGAATTTAATTATTCTTTATTTATGATTAAAAATGGATAATATTTAAGAGCATAATTGCAAAATAAATTTTAATACATAAAATTTTAATTGATAATTAAATTTTATGCGTTTTTTATACCTATTTGTATAAACGAAATCACTAATTTAAGAAACACTGAAATAATTCAAAAACAAACCTACTAACAAATTATTCTTATACTCGTATATATACAAATATTTTGAATTCTTTTCAAATATAAGTAGTATTGTATTCGATCCACTTCAATCTAATATAAAATTAAAAATTATTTAAAATTCTTAATTATAAAAACAAATTTTTAAATCTTCAAAAATATTTTATGTTTCTATTTAAAGTAATAAATTTAATAATAAAATTAAATTCTTATACTCGTGAATTCTAAAAATATCCTATAAATTATTTATTTTTAAATAAATTATATGAAAAAAAATTATTCATTGAAATTTTTGAAATTCATTTAATATTATTTTAATTAATAAAATAAAAATAATATTTATAATAGCGTCCCTCTAATAATAATTCTTTACAAAAATTTCGGCGTTAGTACATTGTATCTCCGCACAATAGCTTAAATACTTCCACAATTTTAAAATTATGATGTCATTTTTTCTAACAAGATCAAATTTTTACGAATAAGAGTTGTTTACTCAATCCAATAATAATATGCAAAATGAAAGTTATAGCTAAGTATTATTTCAAAATCAAAATTATTTATTTAAAAGATAAATATATATGTATGTATGTTCCCGCATACGCATTATACAATATATTGTATTCAAGTCTACACAAATGCAATATGAATACAAATATGGGTATATAAGATAAATATAAAAAAAACGTAAATTTTAATTAGATTTTATAAATTTATAATATCTATTTAAAAAAAAAGTTCGAATCAAAACAATAGTTTGGTCAACGTAATAATTTCCGTTCAGGAAATGAAAATACTTGTAAAATAAATATTAATTATTATCCTAAGCTAGCAAAAAATATCATAACTATTGCCTACTTTCAGGATGAGAACACTTAAGGTGTATTAATATATTAACTGGATTCGACTGCCGGTTTTATTCAGTTATGATAAAAATAATACTCGTATATTGTTTTGGTAAAATATTTACCGTTAGTTTTTTGATTTTATCTGAATTTGAGAAAACTTCCATTTTTGAAAAATAAGATGCCGAAAATAAATTTTGTTAGTTTTGAGAGACGATAAGTTGCAAGATTCTTTTTAACGAATAATTAATATTCGTCACAAGGTACATTTTTGTATAAAGTTTCAGCTTATATTAAAGGGCATATTTATATACTTATATTAATAGGTTTTTAAACTGACACATGAACGGACCGAAAAAACAAAACAAATTTTTTTAAATTTCAAAACAATTTCTCCAGTTTTGTTGAAAATGTTCTAAAAATATTTGAAATTTTTTGCAACGCAATTTCTCTATAACATATGTCTACTTAAGTATATGACAAGGAAATATTAAAAATTTTACGAATAATCATTAATTTTCACATACGTCATATAAATAATTATAATATATCTTAATATACGTACATGTAAATACGTTACAATACTTAACATATATGTATGTGCATTCACAATGTACATATGTGTAGAAATATATTTTTTTACATCATCAAAAATTTATTTAGAATTATGCATGTATACGGTAATGTAGTGCATTTAGTAAGTACGTAATATTATATTGCATGAGTAAATGATCTGAGTGTACATTTATTACAAAAATATTTTAATATTGTAATACAAAAGTGTGTCAAACCAATAGACTTTAAAAATCGTTAACCCACTTTTACAAAATAAAGCTACAAATTTTGAAACAATTTTAAATTCAGGGGCTATTTCTTAATATTGAAAAGCGATTGGCATGTAAGGGAGGGTGAAAAATTACAGAATAATTTTACTACAAAGTTAAAAGTTAATTTAGAATTTCAAATTTTAGAAATTAATTTGTTTAGGTATTATCATTCCAACTCCATATAATAAGGTGATAAAAACTATAATTATTGTTATATTTGAAATTTCCAAGAAGGACGGTATACGCTCAAATTTTTCACTGATTTTTAAAAAAGGGATTTTTAAGATTTTAGTGAAACCATATTAATACGTAATTATTATAAATATGTGTTGCAGTTCTCATACCTTTAGTAATTAGTGCAGTTTTAAATTTATATAGTCTGTAAACAAATCTATAGAGTCTGTAAATAACAAACAAGCGGATAACCGAATAATTATACAAAATTAAATAAATTAGAATTTTTTCTTTCAAATATTTTTTTCAAAATGTGCTGAAAAGCAAGAAAATAATGAAAATTTTATTTATATAGACATAATTAATATGTATGTATATGTGTACGTGTATTAATACAAATATCCTATTGAACACTTCTCAAATCCAAACATTATAATTTTCTAATTAAATCTTTAATTTACACACCTTTTGTACGGGTATACATACGAATGTATATACACAGTACGTATTATACTTGATAATATAATATATATATATAAGTATATGTATAACAATGTCATGAATTTATGAAAGCTTTGTAAATTAAATAATAATATAGAGTAAATATTTTTTCTATAAATAATGTGTAAGCTTTGATTATTCGATTATCCAATGATTTTTGAATAAATTTTTTAAATTTATTTTGTACTTATAAAATTAGAAACAAGATTGTTGTACCATAAGTAGAATATTATGGGATTTTGGATTTTTTTATTAAATATTGTTGATTTTTAAGCTTGTCATAAGGGCAAAATTGTTACATGTGAGTTTCCAAAAAATATTAACTTGCATGTTTTATATTTAATTAAATATGTTTATAGGAAAATATTCATCATAAAACAAAAAGAAATTTATATGCCCACCACGACGATCCTAAAAATTATCATCTTTTAAAAATTATCAATAAGATTTATTGCCAATTTCCATTTTGAGCACGTTTTGAATTTAATAAATTATAAAAATTACTTGTTAATTATATAAGGTGAAATACAATATCATTATAAGAAAATGAACGTATAATTAGGTGAATAATATTACATTTATATACACACATTCTTATTTGGATTTTTAAAATAATTTTTCATATTTTTCGTACAATATCTATGTACACATAAATGACAAAGTTCCTTATATGTAAGCGATTTGTTACATTCTCATTACAATAGAAATTTTAATTATATTGCAACTTTGTGTAAAAAAAAAACTAAAAATAATTCATTTTTATTTTATTCGAGAAAAAAAAAACAAAAGAATGAACTTAATTTAATAAACAATGTTATAAAACATGAATACTTTAAGTTGATTTGGCCAATTTTGGGATATTGGCACTTTAATTGTAGATCAAAAAAATTTCTCAAAATATTTTGACGTCAACCGAACTAAGTAAGTATGTAGATCAGATTGGTGAATACTTATTTATAATTCTGTTTAAATTTTCCATAAAGAAGTGTTTAAGTAAAAAAAACTCTGTAGTGTTGTAATAATTTATTAATTAAGGTCATATACATTTGTATATACAGGATGTCCGAGACTCAACGGAGTTCCTCAAGTAGAGTAATAGAATGCCTCCAGAAGAATTCGATTTTGCGACCCTCCTTCTGAGTTACAGTGCTTCAAGGTTGAAATTTCTGAAAACTATCTAATTGCAACATTTCTATTAACAACTCGGAAAATATAACAGGTATAGTTTATTCACAAATACTATGTATATATAGATTTTCACAAATGCTTAATTTATCTATTGGTTGAATGCTATTAGGTGCATTTCTTTATTTTAAATATTTTTCAAAATTTTTATGTCCCGTTGTCGTATAGAAATCCATTTTGCCCTGTGATTAATTTTTAAAATATAATTATATCGTTTTTGTTTAACTCATTTATATAATATTCGAGTATTTTAAATTCTATAATATATGATGAGTGTTTTATAGCATGCAGGCTGAAATCTAAATGTAGCGTATGCATATGTAACTGTAGCTTTTAGGTTACATTTCAAAAAAATTTCTAGTGCATCTGTACGAAAAATTGAATTTTATTATATTTGTTATTTGTCCATAAAAGGAACAATAATCTACATTATCCCACCCAAATAAATAGTTATTTTACTATTTAAACCATATTAGTTTCGTATATAGATATTAGTATTACACAATATTAGTTGCTTATTTATTACTTAGCAATTTTCACAATAAAATGAAATTCTTTCACATATCTTTTTTAATATTTTTATTCTAATTTGTTTATTAATAGTATTAATTTTTTATAGAAAATTGCTATATAAATAATTTATAAATCTAATAAGAAAGTGCAGCTACTTGTAATTTTGTTAAAACAAAATATAGTCAAGTATTATCAAAAATTTTTAATACCTATAAATTCTGGTTCTTATATGATTTTCGATTTTCACAGGAACCTTATACTAAACCGAAATAATTTTATAAGTATTTGAGAACATTAATATCGTAATTTTTAATTCATTTTGCATATCGCTTGTCAAAAGTTCATAATGATATTACAAAATATTTATTCCTGGCTAAACAGCGTATGTTAGGAAAATATTGGAAAATAAGAAAAGTTAAAAAATTCATTTAGTATTTTAACTTTCGCAAAATTTAGGGACATTTTGATTTAATTGTGAGTTTCATTAAGATATTTAGTAAGTTATTCAATTAAATTATTATATACCAACTTTTTCAA